CCTTGGAAGGTAGAGGTGGAGGTGGTGGTGGGGGCTCCCCTTGAAGTTTCGAGGTATCTGGGGGTGGCCCTGAGGGTGGCCCTGGGGCAGGGCCTGGAGGAGGTGGGGGGATGGGTGGGTCCTGGCCATACTGCCCCGGCCTGAGGTCACCCACAGAGCTGTAGAGTCGGAGGTTGCCATTGACTAGTGAGCTGGTACCTGGAAGGAAGGAGACACAAAGATGAGGAGGCGTAAGGCCAACCAGCGCTGGCAATCTCTGTGTGCCCAGGGCACATGGGGTGGGCAACCAAGAAAGTGCCTGGCCAGGCTCATGCCTTTCTTCTTGAGCACCAAGTGAAGGAGCAACAATGTCTCCAGTCTCTTGAGCTGTCCTAGGAGTGACCCTCTTCTTTCTAGGGAAGGATGCCTGCCTGTCCCTGGCCTAGCCTCTGAAGACTATACTGAATATTCTCCATTGGCTCCCGAGAGTCATGTTCCGCCCTCCCCTCCCTGCTCACACTCTGGTATATCATCCCTTTATTGAACTCTCTTCAGTTACCCACTTTGAGGGTACCATCTGTTTCTTACAAAGCCAGAAAGACCCGAGTTCAAATCCCAGCCCTACCACTTATCAGATGTGTGACCTTGGACACACTAATTAACCTGGCTGAGCCTCAGTTTTATCATCTCTAAAATGGGCATACTAGCAGTGCTTACCTCTTAAAGCTGTTGTGAGGATTAAATAAGAGAATTCATGTAAATCAGTGTAAAGGGCGTATCATGGTGCGAAGCCCAGAGTAGTCACTTAATGAATAGTGATTACTATTGATTACTACCACCTGTGCTTGATGTTTCAGACTGTGTAAGACAGACAGGGAAAGGAAGAGAGAAGAAGTCATGGATTGAAGGTATGGGCCTGGAGACTTCAGCGAGGAAGTTTAGATGAAAGTTTGGAGGGAACAATTTGTATGAGTAACTCCTGCTTTCTGCAGACCCCAAATCTGCCAAGAGCCCAGCTTCTGGAACATGCCCTGGACTGTGGGATGGAATGGGGGAGTGTAGAAAGAAGGTGTCAGGACAGCCTGGCACTAGAGAGATGCTGGGTACACAGGGGCCAGCAGCTCACATGCCCTTCTTGAACCCAGTCCCAGCTTCTCCCTAAAGCTGCAGACAGCCAGGATATCCTGGTTGCTTCTCTCTTAGCGGCATCTCTTTTTCTCCCTCCTTCTTGTTCCTAGCACAGAGCATAACAAACCGGGGAGTGTGCAGCTCTGAAGGGCTCTTCCAGCTACCTGACTTCATTACAAAGAACAGAAGGGAGTGGGGAGGGGAGAAGCAACATTCATTGACATTCTAACATCCCAAGTGTTAGGAGCTGGGATACGGCAGTAAAAAACACACAAACAAAAATTAGTAGAAATCCTAGTCCTTTGGATGTTATGTTATAATGGGACAATGAGATAGACCATTAGTCAATTATTACCATTAGAGGATGAGTAATATGAGGGAAAAACCGAGGGGTGCTGGAGGCGCAGTTTGAACAGTGATCAGAGAAGACCTCGCTGAGAAGGTGACATTTGAGCCAAGAGGGCAAGAGTAGGGGAGAGAGCCGTCCATATGTCCAGGAGTAGAACAGCCCAGGCAGAGAGAAGTGCAGTGCAAAGGCCCTGGGGTGGAGACGCGCCTGGGTATTGAAGGAGCAGCAAGGAGAGTGGACTGGCTGGAGGAGTGCGAGCCAGGGAAGAAAGCAGGTCCTGAGTCCAGGTGAGGCCAGATTCTGCCAGGCCTGTCAAGAACCTTTCCTTTGAGTGACATGGAAAGTCTTTGGCAGATTTTGAACAAGAGGTATGACAAGAAGTGACTTGTATCCCATCCAGCACTTCATTACTCCATTGCTCATTTGATACACAGGTGTCAGTAGGTGATTTGCCCAAGGGAGCAAAGCTAATGTGTAGGGGCCCTGGGATCCAAAGCCAGGTCTGCAAGGCCTGTCGGACTCCAGGGTTCTTTCTCCCACTTCATTCTGCCCTTGTTCCTGCTCTGGCCTTGGCCCTGCACCATCCTTAGCCCTCTGGAAGTACGCCTTACCCAGCCCTGGCTCAACCCCAGTAGCCAAGCAGCCTGGGGACCCCAGTTTTATCACAAGCTGGGGAGGTGGGCCAGATCCTTGGGCCTAAAGAGGAAAGAAAGGTGGACAAGCCCCAAGCCCAGGGTCCTCTTACCTGTCACTTCTTTGTCTGCAAAGTCTTCTGGGACAGAGGGGGTGGGCACAGCCAGGCCATGGTTCTCCTGGGCATTCTGGAAGAGAGCAGAGAGATGAGGGGACAAGGAAAGATGGACAGGTAATCCCTAACTCGCTGCTGTGTGAGGCCGTTTTCCTGCTGTGATGGTGACGGGTGCGCAGCCTTGTGAATATACTGAAGTATCGAGGGATCCTTTCTTTTTTCTTTTCTTTTCTTTTCTTTTCTTTTCTTTTCTTTTCTTTTCTTTTCTTTTCTTTTCTTTTCTTTTCTTTTCTTTTCTTTT